CCCCCTACTGAAGTTTGTTTGGAAGATGGCACCATGTTCATAGTCACTCGTAAGTATAAAGTTACTAACAAGATGGGATCTTTGAAGGATGAAATGGGAACATGATCTTTTACCTGTGAAAACTACACATTTTGTCTCTGCTCAACCCTTATTTTATGACCTTGGTGTGACAGCTTATGATGTTAAACCTTCTCAATGTATTAATAAGGAGCCAAAGTCTAAACCTAAAAATGTCCCCTCAAGTTACCAACACCAGAAATTGTGGCAATAATAAAGTTTACCTCATGTTCTGATAGAAAATGTGGCTAGTAAATACACCCTCCATGGTATTCTTATCACGAGTAAGGTTGGAGAGGTGTTTTACTTTTGATAAGAAAGTTTCTTATCAAATTTTCTAAAGAAACTACTTTATCTTTCCAACAAAAATTGTACAATGGTCATGATAAGTGGTCGAATTCTCAAGTAATTATGCTTTTGCACTTACATGTTGTTTTCAATGTCCATAAAAGATTGATAATGTGTTTAACAGAATAGCCAATTTATAGTTTAAGGATTTTATTTGAGTAAAATGTTGGGTTAAAATAGGATAATTGGGCATTAATTTTTATTGCTACTGAGTTTGCTTAAAACAGTTCTTTATATAGTCTATTTGGAAGACGCCCTTTCACCTTTCTTCATGGACACTTGCCATATTTACTAATTGATTTTATCATCCTTTTTATAATGTCTGTCTCTCTAAGCTAACCACATCCAGTGCCCAATATATTCTTGATTTGCATACTAAAATTAAATATAAGATTACAGTTAGGATTGCAAATTATATACTTATTTCTCTTTTGCAATATGAATGAGGAGTTTATTATTAGCCATTATGTCATGATTTGCACCAACCCGAAGTGTATTCTTCTCCTTATTAAGAATCTACACCCTCAAGAAGTAGATCCTTCTTTCATTTTGACAAAGTTCAGACCTAAAACTAGTCATGTGAATGGCAGTCAAGGTTTTAATCATCGAGGATTTGTTTTCTACTTGAGGAAATTTTGAGCTCCACCCTTTTCCTATTAGTGCTTTTGTAAAAAGCCAGTTTGTTAATCCTCAATATCCCACCAACAAACACTTTTTTTTAAATATAAAGTATGGTATTAAAAGGAGGTATAACCCGTATACATAGTTTTACAATTCTGTTAGCAAGCCAATCAAATCCCCTAAATCCTCAAAAGAATAGAGGGGATAACCCCTGATCAAAAACAACTAGAGTCTGAAACCAAGAATCTTTCAATCCATTAAAAGACCATTCTATGCTCTCAAAACTTCTTCTATTCCTTTCTTTCCCTATGACCCAAAGGGTAGCCAAAAGGATAGGGCAAAATTCTTGTTGTAGCTCTTGTCCCTAAGAATGTTCTTCCAAGCCCAAATCTCTTCTTTCACCAAATCAATCATGGCCCAATTCACCCAACAGGCTATAAGGGAAACACCATAACCGGTAAGAGAGGGAACACCATAAGAGAAGGTGGTTGACTGTTTCTGCTGCTCTTTTTGCACAAATAATATCCATTCATAATGATCTCTCCCCTCTTGATCAAGTTATTTGGGTAAAGATGCACCCGCATGCCACCCCCCAAGCAAAAAACGCAATTCTAGGAGAAGCTTTGACCTTCCAAATCAGTTCCTATGGGAAGTTATCGATAATTTTTTGAAATAAAGGGAAGTTATCGATAATAATGCCAATAGTCAATGATTGCAGTAGGACTTAACCGAGAACACTCCATTCTGATACAATTTCCACCACAATTCATCCAAATCATCCGAGGGTCTTCCCACTGGGATAGGCATTGGAGTGAAGCAACATAGTCATTAACTTCCTAGTCATTTACATTCCTTACCAACTCAACAGCCCACGTTCCATTCCCCTCCGAGTCGGAAAAGGAGCAGACAACCATAGCTTCCTTGTTGCACCAAAGAAAGATAGTGGGGAATCGATACCTTAAGAAATCACTTTCTCATCCAATCATCCAGCGAAACCTCACTCTATGCCTTGATTTGATCTTCCCAAGCTACAACTTTCTGAAACTCATCTCTTCCAATGCCAATTTTTTTCCATAGGCTGACTCTGTGACATCTTGATGAAGCCCGAGTAAATCACCCCATATTTTCAATGCCAAACTTAGATCTAATCACCCATCTCCATATACTATCTGTTTCCTTCATGAATTTCCACTGCCAACAGATGTTGTTGGAGATATTTTGATTAATGAACATATTACCTCTTCTTATCGAGGTTTCTATTGATTCTCTTTAAATGGAAGGATCATCCAAATTCAAGCACTCTAGAAACAAGTAAAGAGCGGTTTCTTATGATGGATCTGCACATACTGATCATAATTATCCAAGGTCACTCATTTGAGCTGAGTTCATTTGACAAGGGAAGAATGATGCATGAGCATTTCATAATTTTCCTAAAATAGGATTACTACCGTGATTATTATATTTTCGCTCGACTTTATATTTTGTAAACGTTTCGTTCTTGTTTAGTTAGTATTCCTATTTTGTTAGGATTTTCTTATTTAAGTACTTTAATCATATTAGCAATGTACGAACCTTATAAATGCATAGATGCTTCATCGCTATTAAAAAGATTGTTTATAAACAAAAAAATATTGATTTTTCCCTCATTGAATTGAGTGCCAAACAACCCATTCTGACAACACTATAAATACGTCTGCTTCATTACTATAAATACATGTGACATATTACCAATCTGAGCCGGACAAAAAATGAGATATAAGGCCATTATGGCTCAAGGATGGGGAGCACAAGTGGGAAAATTATTCTACTAACGAATTGTCACACCTCCAACGATCCTCTCAGAACAGGACTCCGGAACCATCTCCTAGTTTGAAACGAGTTACAATGGATACAAAAGGTTCAGTAAACTGGTAATGGTTTTCAATGGGCTTTTGTGTTGGGTGGATTTAGTAGTGACAACTTCCCACCCATTCCTTTTACTACCATGGACACTTTTGATCACCCTATACTACAACAAAAAAGGTCCTTGCAAAAATGTCACAGAAACTTAACCAGTAAAGACTACATCACATTCCCAATGCCTAATCCTCCAAAGGTTTTGGACCTACAACAGCCTTCTCTACTAACCAAATAATCCCTATGTTCCTCTCCTGCACTTGCACACAAAAATTCTCTCATAATCCTCTCCCCACTCTCAGCTACTCCAATTGGTTCTGAATAAAGATAGGTAATAAAGTGGGATGCTAGATAGACAAGCCTGAATTAAAGTGACTATACCACCCAAAGACAACAAAATCCCTTTCCAACTCTTCAACTGCCTAGACACTTTTTCTACCACCTCATCTTGGAAAGACTCACTCCTAGAGTTACTCCCCAATGGAGCCCTTAAATAACTAATGAGCCATTGTAACTTAAAACATCCAATGGCTTCAAACAGAATTTTCCATAATTTCATCCCCCACATTTATCCAACCATATGAAACCTCCAATACAGCTCTTGCAAATAAAAACCCCTTACCCCCCACGAAATTCCAAGTCTGGTACAAATTGCAAGTATATGCTTACTCATTAAAGAAGCACCACCAAGAACTGTTGCCTCAGAAACACGGAATTGAAATGTATGATTTCAAAAACTTGTTTGCTAGCAAAGCATCAAAGGAAATCTTGAAACAGTCAACTTAAACTAAATAAAATCTATCAGACCCTATGAATAACCCTAAAAAAAATGAAGGCTTCATTACAAAAGATGCAGCGAATAAGGAAGCCAGTATAGGCACAGCATAAACTCCTAGATAAGCACCAAATAAGGGCAGAAGATTAGAGCTGTCCGTTTTACCATATAAAACCATACCTAATTCCACTATGATTTTTTCTTTTTTGAAATACAAATTCCACTATAAATTGGATGCAGTCAAAATCACTTTCCTATTTGATGTTGTACATAAGACATAAATTTCACTATTGTGAAGTCTCCTCCACAATTCAACACAAATCAATAAAAAGCCAAGTTTAAAGGTCAGATCTTGTGAGGTAATAACAAATAATCCTGCACTAAAAGTATGAAAACTCAAAGTACTTTAAATAGTGAAAATCAAAGTATTTCCTAATGTGGATTAAAGGTGAAAGATTATGGACTCAGGACTCCCAAAATAAAATCTCATATCATTGACGAACTGTCATGTCCTACCTTTCTTATTATTGTTTGTAGCTTCTACATAGTTACAGCTTGACTGGGTTCTTCTATTTGAAAAATTCTAGAAATTGTTACAAATACAGATGTAGCAAAAGAAATCAGTTCGACATCTTTGACATTAGCCCATCCCCAGTGAAATCCAGAATCAACAGCGGATTCATTTGGAAACTCTTGAATACTCTAATATTAGAAATAATAAGAACGGTGTCATATAACTTCATTATTTTGACCTTATCAATAAAAACAAGCTGTTCTGTTGCTGATTCTGTCATCATAACTCCCATTTAACGTTAATCATGGATTTCTTCATGCCAAGAAGAAAACTGGTGCTAACTCTATACATGTTGGACTAGAAATGGTCAATGATCAAAGCTAAGAAATTAGATAGAGTCTAAAAACAAAGATAGCTAACAACAAATAATATTGAAAAAGCCAACACATAAATTACCTTCCGTAGCTAAAAAGAATACATCACCAATTAATTACTCCAATCTTTGTCCCATAATCAAAAAACAAGCAGCACTAAATCAAAAAAAAAAAATCAATTAAGAAAATAATCAAAAGAAAAACATTGATAGAACCAACAAGCAACGAAGGCAAACATCTCATTCACAATAACATCCGCAAGAAATTAATCACTCAAAGATTAACCTAAAGATTAGGAAGAAAAAGATAGGTAGTAAATCAAATTCCACTAACCCTGAACGCTCCCGCTTAAAAAATCAATATATTAAGACAAAACAAAAAAAAAATGAGATAGAGAGGAGAGTGACAGTTGAACCTGGACGCCACCATCGCCAGAGTTAGAAGGGATGAGAACCGGACCTAGTTGAGGTCGGTCAACGACGACTTGCACAGGGACGCTGAAACCTTTACGAGGAAGTCCGGTTTCTTGGAACTGAGGTCGACTGTGACTCTGCTGATTATCGACGTTGCCGCTACCGTCAACAATGCCATCGCAGTCGTCGTCGTCACTATCTTTGCCTTCGTGGGCATCGTCTTTTGCGAGACCTAGAAACCCCGCTAGCCTCCTAAAAAGTCTCATCCCCAACCAGTTCAATCAAACAAATCAACCAGCAATTAGTAATCAGTAATTACAGAAGAGAAGTGGAGTTCGGAATTTTCATTTCTAATTTGAAAAGAAAGGGAGTTTATATGGGGAAGCCGGGAGAGCCAAAGATTTTCTTGAAGAAAAACTAAAAAGAAAATTGAGTTAGCTTCTTAGCATCCGCCTCTCAGCTCGAGTCCTCCCCCTATGAGAGATTTTTCTCCCGACTCACGGACGCTCATCTATGAAAAAAAAAAACCAAATCGCCCGTTTATGTTAGGTGCATACATATATATATATATATATATATATTGTCTCTCCTCCAGCTTGGATTCTCTATCACTAAATTTTAATTGTACAACCTGCTTGATAGATTCACTATATTTGAAGCATTTTCATTTTTATCTACTAGGTGATGATAGATCAATCTTAAAACCAGCTATGTAACAAGCTTCATCCTCTCAAGAATTTTTGAAGTTACATTAAGCAAGTTTGCATTAATGAAATAGGGAAAGAGGAAGTGAGTTGACGCCATAAATGGCTCAAAACTTTTTGTTAAGAACTCAACAATCATTTTTCTCAAAAAGATATGTTATTCAGTTTTTGTTTTCATTTATTTGGATGTTAATCTGACTGTTTAAGGTTGTTTTTTTTTTTTTTTTTGTAAGATTTGATATTATAGTACGGAAAAATATATTATTACATATCTTAATGTAAGTTAATATAATAGTTTTGATAAATAAATTATATCTAAATTTAATTAATTATAGTTGTATTAGGTCACGATCATAACTGATTGGTCTTAACAAAGTACATATCAAGTATATATTGTTATTATTTTGGCTGTGAAATGTTAAAAGATTACTAATATTAGTTTATTTACTTTACTTATTGTTAAGTTATAAATGTTTATATCTTGTTAGTTATTCATTATCTAATTAGTATTACTTGATAATTATGGTAATAAAATCAGTTATATTTAAGAATTTTTTATTTACTTATACAGCAAACAAATCACATTAATATAAATATACTACTATTATTTTAATAGATTTCAAAAGATACATCTATTGCATAATAATGATAGGCTAAATTTTTATCATAAGTTGTTTAAAAATGAAGAATGTCTAAAAGACTATACAACAATATGTTACTAAGAGATGAAAATAATGGAATAGTTTAACTTTAAATATGGTTCATGAACATCATTATACATAGCAAAAATGTGAATAAACACCATCATATTTTGATAGATTTGTGTAGGTTATGTTATTTATATGAGCATTTAGTCTCATTAAACATAAATATAATTGACACTATAATAATTTTTATAAGTTCTGATTATATTAGCATGACATTAGATTCTTACAAGAAAGTTTATCATTTATCAAGTAACAATCTACGTCATACCATGCACGTAAAATGATTCGCTACACTTAATTATATCGTAGTTGGTTTAAGCATAATAAATAATATTCTAATTTGAAAAAGATATAATTTTTTCTATACCCTTTTACGAAACTAATTATTAGATACAACATATATTTATAGTCATATAAATAGTGTACAAGGATCTATAATTTCTATCAAAGATGAAATCGTATCTTCTAAATATATTAAGTCGACAATTTAAAAGTTCAGAGTCATAGTATTACATAATTTATATAATAGGTATTTAAAAAAAATCGCTCAATATTTATTTATAATAGTATATGTTTGTGGTAATTGTATAAGACAATTTAACGTATTGTGTTCCCTAAATTTTTACTAAAATATAATAGACGAAACAAACATACATGTACATATTGTTTACCAGATGCACGTATCTTTTTTCCTATATAAATCAATTTTATATTTTGAACATAAAATAACAAGAAAAAGTTTATGATTTTATGTGTTTTCTCCTTTCTAAATATATCTACCTATTCTATCACATCTCTTCTCATCCTTAAATAGTTTAACAAGGTTCTTGAGAGGGAAAAAAACAAAACAAATATATATATATATATATAATTGGTTCCTTTCTGTTGATTTGCTCTTCACTATCTCTAGTTTTTACAAAATCTCAAGTTAAACGAAGCTCTTTTTGTTGTTGCTCCCATTTTCAGGATTGAGAGGAGCACTTGTTAGGATTCAAGTATTTTTCCTCTCGGAGGAGTTTAGCCCCATCTCGTTTCATACGTTTTCCGATGATTTTCAGTGTTTGATCCAACTGTGAAATTCTAAACAAAATCTATCAACTTTTTTTCTGGAAAGACAAGTCCTAAAATTTAATAAAGACAACAAAAAACCAGAAAATGTTTACCGGCATGGGACACAATTAACATACAAAACCAAGACAAATGATAAGGTATATACTTCCTTCACAGAAGGGTAAGAAGCATACTCCCTATGTCAGCTAATAATCATCGCCATAATATATAACAAAATGGAATAGAGATCTTTGTTTTTCTCTTTAAAGAAAAAATAAAGAAGCCCCAGAAAGTCACTTTTAACGGAGATACACTTCATAATACATATTGGTTCCCTACATCCTTTATTACAAAGCAGGAAATTCTGTTGGTTTACAAAATGACATTGACTCCTAAAGAAAATCTAAAAGACATAAAACCATGTATCAAAACCACTCTGTGCTAAAATAATATTTGAGAAACAGCCATCCTTCTTAAAACCCTGAAGAGTTGAAGTTTTATGTATCAAAGAATTCTTTCTTATGAACTCTTTTAAATTCGCTACACAGGACAATCACAGGTCACTTACCCAACCCTTGAGATTTTTTTCCTTATCATCACAGGATTCTGTCCTGAAGATCTGTCATTAGGGTGGAAGCTAATGAGCTAAGCTTCTTCCCAGTCTCTCCCGCAATGTTCTTGAGGGAAGAGATATCTTGTTGTGCCTGAAATGAAATTCAGAAGGGAAAAAAAAATTTTTAAAAAGGGATAATATACACGCGCACACATATATTTATTAATCAACCTCCCGTATGTAAAAAATAATAAGAAGAGAAATAAGAATAAATAAATAAATCCAAGTCATTCGCTCACCTTATTGCAGAACTGAAATCCTTTTAACAATATTTTTTTCATGATTCAATTGAATTATAATAAAATGTAATTGATGTTCACTGGGTACCAGTCAGTCCATCCGATTATTATACACTGGGGATAGAGGTAACTCAAATAGAAAATTACTTATGAATAGAAGGCCAAACAGATCATAGAAAATTAGCTTATCTTGCTCTAAGAATAGGAGATCCTCGAGTCAAAGTCAACAAAATTTGATAACTGGTCTGCACACCATGTCTATGTTGAATAGAATACACCATTCTAGAGTTCAGTTGATTTTTTTCTTTTTTCAAATGAATGTTCACTTGAACTTGAACAGAGTTCAATGCCATCAACAGAGCATCCGTCATGGTAGCCATGCTGCACTTTAGGAACTTTCAGGGGAAAAGGAAGAAAGATCAATGGATAGGTTTTGGGGAACATGAAGAGTAATGCACCGATTCTTGAGGAGCAAAGTCACCAAGTTATTGGCAACTGATTCTTAGTGCAACTACAGAAATTTTTTTCTCTAGAAAAACTATATAATTGAAATGAAGACCAAGCATAATCATTTGAGGTTGGTTCCTGGATTGCAACTCAGACAAGCTATCAGTAAAATTTGATGCCATCATTTATATTAGAGGAAACCAGGAAAGATTGCTCCACCTTTTACCAGAAAAGATAGGGAAAAAAATTTTTGGGGGACAGAATTTTCATTCTTTGCTTAAATGAGAAAAATGAAGCAGTTGAAGGACTAGAGAGTGCTCCAAAAATGAAGAAACAACGATGAGATTTATTTAACATGGAAAGGGCATTAAATAACTGGTGACGAGCCATAACAAAAAGATGCCTTTTATATCGCATTCCTTCTATCCATCCAGATAGGACCCATAATAAATAATGAAAATAAGAACAAGCGACCATCTAGCAAATAGTTAAAAACAAGGTACAAAATAAAAATGAAATCAGAGTGGTAATAATTCAACCAAAATCTGAATGCAGCAAATGGAAAACAAACCTGGAAAGATAATCGGCTGAGCAGGTCACTAGCAGTAACATCAAGAGGAGAATGATCCATGTCATGACCAAAAAGATCAGCACTAGAAATGGCTGTTGAACCCTGAATATAATGATACAACCAATGACATTAAAAAGGTACCTAAATCTAAAAATATTAGCAATTGATGCCATGACCAAGATGATAAGCACTAGAAATGGCTGCTGAACCCTGTCCATAATGATGCAACTAATGGTATGAAGAACGCAATGAGATCAACGAACACAATTAAATCAACAATGGTGGAGAAGAAAAAACCACTTTATCAATATAATAGTTCCTGGAAAATCTCAAAAATTTATGCCAGTACTATATAAATGAAATATTTTCGAAGCGCCGTAGTTAAGAAAACAAATATGATGAAAGAATCTGAATCTAAAAATTTCCATTATTAAAACACTATACAATTCGAGATAAAGATCACTCAAAAAAGAAATTCTGAAGATGTAGCCATTTAAAACAAAGTTCAATTGATACTTCCAGTAACTTAGCAATAGCAAGAGACATACTGAGTACTTCTGCAAAGTAACTTGGGCATCAACATCAGCTGCTTTGTTCTGATCCCCAAAAAACTGAGCAGAGGAAATAGATTTTGCATTTGAGAATTTCTTCCTTGCTTCATCACTTTCCTGAATCTGATGAAAATGACAATAGTGATATGAAAAATAATACTAAACAAGCACATTTATCATGCACAAGGACCAAGTCATAACTAATACGGTAAATTGAACAATCTGTTTTAATAATAAAGAAATCCAAAAAGTTTTAACCGTTAAAGACACGTCCTTTTTGAATTCTAAAACAGAACAACTTCCATTACATGACAAGATATTAGCAAGACAAAACTCCCAAAAAAAAGACAAACGACCAGAAAAGTTAATCTTCTCTGCAGTACCCACAGATGCATCTTATTTACCCACTAAAGATAAAGTCACAGGACATAAAGATTTGAGTCATTCAAACTCTTAAACAATAGCATGTTAACTATAGCTCTATACTAAAGATTGTTTGCGTAAGATGTATTTTATCATTCTTCAAATTCTTTCTACAGATGATAACATGTAACAGTATCAAGAGGGAAACTGAAAAAAATACAATAGCTTATGATAGAGCAAAATATTTAACTTACCAAACTAAAACACCACCTTAATATGTTCACTACCATCATATAATATGCTTTGGGGCTATTTTCTTTTTGTAGGTTTGAATGACTAATCATTTCAGATTGATGCAAAAAAAATTTAGATTCCAGGGAACAGATTATTCATCCAAAAACAGAGATGATAAAGAGGCACTAAGTTCCAATTGATGATTTCCTGAAAAGAAAAAATTTCCAATGGATGATAACAAAATACTGTAATTAAAATTCATTTCCCTGAAACAGTATCAACTATGGATATGATGAAAGCAGCAGCTAAACTTGAAAGTACGTCCCATATGACAAGGACCTATTTGAAGGCTAATTACAAGGAATAGTATATACAATGGAAGGCGAACTTACAAAAACAAAACAATCTTCATATAGAAGCTAAATAAAGTTAAGGCCCTGTTTGGTTCAATTCTCAATCAATTACCATATTCCTTCACTTAACAAATGGTCGATAAAATTGCATCATTATTTGCATGTTCAAACCATCTTTAATCTATCTTGAATCAGAATTGAGAAAGAAATCCATTTCTGAAGATCAGTCTAACAATCAAGTGTGTATGAATAAGATAGCAATTGGGTTAGAATTAAACTAAACTGACTGTAACTGAAATCGGAGGTTGTGAAGAAGCATCTTAAAGGACAGGCCTGCATGTGAAAAAACATGATATAAAATGCAACAAGATACTGAGGAAGAGCAGAAAAAAGTTCTGCCTTCTCTGATTCAAGTAGAACTAGGACAATGACACCTTCAGTTCGGAGAGCACTCGCCCTCTCAAATTCAATTCAATTAGAAAAAACCAACAACAACAAAGTATAAAGGCCAAAATAGTGTAAGGAACATTAAGACTGTTGTGTTATATTGAAGACGAAAGACTTATCTCCCGAAATTAATTCACAATATTAAAAATTGGAATATTGCACCTCAAATATATTAATCATATGATTTTTCTTCTCAAATTTTCAAACTATATGCTGGTTAGATTCCAAAGCAACTCAGAAGCTTACATCTAGACAAGTGCAATTTATGAAAACATTATACTATTATTTTGCTTGGCAAATAATATTCAATGTTGGGCAAATTAGACACCATTCCTCAACTTACCGTTCTCACTGACATTAAAAATCTGTGCAAGGGACTGAAATATACGGAGTTACAACAAGTAATAAGACTTACTTGCACTTTTGTGGAATTTGAATTTGCTTTCTTCTGAAAACCACTATCCATTCCAAATTCTGCAAAGAAGCTGGACGACTTTGGTGGAGCTACATGGCTAAGCACTTGCATGCCACCAGAGCTCTGTTCACCAGATTGGACATTTTCTACATACTCAAAGCGAGATGTCAAAGATGCACCAACTGATGGATTGCTGTTAGTGGATGAAACTGGAACAACTGGCTCTTCAGGTTGCTGGTCGTAGAGACTTTCACTAGGCTGCATTTAAGAAATTGTCAAGAAA